AACATACCAGGAGTTGTTTTGTTTAATTCACACAGATTCAACACACAAATCCTGCATATATTTGGCTGACCTCCAATATTCCAAAGTGAAATTAAACGTTTCAATCTGCGTAGAATCAAGCAGGAGACGCCACCAGGCCAATTTACAGGTGAGATCTAGGCGACCCTAGACTCTCTCTTTCCCCCTCTCTATCTTTTTCTCTCTCTCCTAGGGATGCACAGATTCAGCTTTTTCAGTTTCGATACCAACTTCAATACTACAGATTTAAGTATCTGCCTGTACCCAATATTTACCAATACCAGTGCAGACTGAAAAAAAGCAGTTCTTTAACAAAATAAAATAAGAAAACATTGAACCAAATGTGTTCTGTCACTGTTATGTATCTCTCAGGTAACAAAAGAACCCAGACTTTCTGGACCAACTACCACCATTAAATACTAGGGGTGGGCAAAAATTTTGAAATATTGATATCATGATAATAATGTGATTGTACAGTATTGATATCATGGGCTGCTGTATTGATATATCGCCAAAAGTATTTTTGGTAACTTTTGGGTTCTGACCGCGTGGCAGTTTTGTTGCTTATTTAGTGGAAGTTTATGCAATAGACTTGACATACTTACTGTTATGATCATTAACATAAACGAATTTCATATTAACTTTGAACAGGCGGTGGTTTAACAAAGAAATATTGTTGTTAAAAAGTATTTGTTCTTCAAAATAGTGATAATATCGTATCATGAGCCATGTATAGAGTATCGTATCAAATCGTGAGGAACCCTGAGATTCCTTAGCCAGACTGGCACCACCTAGTGCCTCCGCTCAATTTCATTTCTCTCCAGCGACTAGGTCAGGAATCAGAATACACTAGACGGTTTGCAAGAACCTTGGAAGTGTGAGTCCAGGCACCAGCCAATCAGCGAAGAGCCATACATTCTGTGTTGGCAACAATTCCCAAGATCGAGGATTTAAAGTTGGGACAAAGAGAATGTTTGTTGAATTTTATCAAGAGGAAAGACGTTATTGCCCTTCGTCCTATGGGATTAGGGAAAAGCTTAATATACTAGTTAGCCCTGTTAGTGGCGCATTACATACGTCACGACCAAATAGCAGTGATTAATTAAATGAAAAAAGTACCCGCCTACTGTCGAGCAAACGAATTCTAATGCTGCGAGGTCAGATGGTTTGCAAGAAGTAAAACCGGCTGAGGAATTAGGCTAGCGATTCCCAGCCCTACTTAAAAATTTGTTATGGTGACAGGCCTACTCTCTCCCTCCCTCTGTCCTAACTGCCCCCCTCTTTCTCCCGTCACCCTGAAACAATATGTGATCGATCTCACAGCGGAGACTGGCCCCTGAAAAGCTGAGTCAAGCCAAGCGTCCAGTTGCTGCCAGAACCTTTGTCTGAACTGAATGACAAAACAGACCACGGCCGCTCACATGCAGGGAGCCAGTTAGATCTGGAGCAGTGATCTGGTGTACAATTACCTTTAGTGGGGACAGTGTTTATCTGTAACTGAAACTAAAAACTGAAAATACAGAGGGTAAACTAGGAATGGAGCAGATTAGCTGCTTCTTAACTAGTGCTCTCAGTCAAATCGAAATCACAGTTTGAATGGACGCAGTTTGCAAATCGTAAATACTGCGCTTTTTGAAGCATCATAATTTCCTCCATAAACAAAAAAATATTCATATTCTGCATCAAAAGTGCTAATCCTGTACTTTTGATGTGGTTTGGAGCGGATGTTCTGAAATGTGATTCTTGGATTAGTTTGTCAGTTCATATTTCAGTCATATTTCAGTCAATTCTTCTGGACACTTTTAAAATGTAAACTTTAAACGGGAATACAAAATGGATAACTGGGATATACATATTTATATTAATTTGGTAAACATACAGACATATTTTAGCCTCATCTTCTATTACAATTTTCATTTATGATAAATCCGATGCACTGCCAACTATAAACATTGCAGCCAAATATCAGCTCGACTGTCAATATCAGGCCAATATGTCGTCAACAATCTCTGGGGGTGTGATGCTAACTGTAGGCGTGCTCCGTCTGAGGCTTTGTTACACTTTAATCTGAGCTTTATTTTAACACAATTTGACCATAAAGAACTGACAAAGCTGGAACTACAACAGGTGGGATGATTGATGATATGATGCATTAGCGAAAACTGTTTTTTCAGTTAGTAGCTCTCATCTTGTACATGGGGGGAAACAGGGAGGGCGTTCAGTCCACGGAAAAAGGAACATACAGAGCAAAATGCGAGAAATAAACAGCGAAGGCGTGCACACAAGCAACAAAACACAAAGCAGAACAGGAACAACTCAAATCAGCCACCTCTGACCACTGTAAAAGAGAGAACCATATTATGGACTGGGACAGAGCAAACATTACTGGGACAGAGGAAAACAAACGTTGTTGGATTAAAGAAGCAGTCAAAATACAGAAGTATAAACCGGGACGAGGGAGCTTTTTTACTCTCACACACTCGAGATACAGTCCTGAGAAAGTCAGAGTGCAGAGGGCGCTGATGTCCTGCCTCCACCGGTAGGAAGACAGGTCAGAATGTGTTAAAATAAAGTTCAGATTAAGTCTAACTTGTAACAGAGCTTTTTTACAGACTAGTGCTTTCAGTTAGCTTCACACCCCCAAAAAATGTTGATGACATCAGCAGCAAAGTATTAACAGGTAAATGTATTGTTTATTTATTTATTTACATTGACCCATCCTTCAATGTCACTGTAACCTGATAACACTACCTCTATATATATACTGTATATATGTGTGTGGTTTCTAGTATTTTTAATTTGTCCAAATATGAATATGTCCTTGGATTTTGTGCCAGCTTTAAGTGATTATGGTCAAGGACAGAGCTTTCTGCGATCAAACTGAGTCATTTCCAGCTAAAAGAAATGTTAATTGTTTGCACATTTTTATAGACCAACAGAATATCACCCCATTTCATTAAAGATGCACTGTGTAACATTTCTAGAGGAGGGTTTGCCACCTGCATGTCTCCATGGAAGTATTATTGCTTTGCCTAGAACTTTCCACAGCATAGATTAAATTTATCTATCACGAGGGAGACAAGCAGGTCACAGCGCTATGCTACATTACATATCAGATCTGTGGAGAGTCGCCCCTAGTCACAGAAAGAATTAATGTATTTTTAAGCAATAGAAACACTAGGTGGATATGTTTAAAGGTGCACTGTGTAACTTTTCTGGAGGAGGGTTCGCCAAAGGCTTTTGAGATGTTATTGCTTTGTCTGGAATGTTTGTCAATATGTCATTAAACCTTTTTATCTTCATGGAAAACAACAACAAACAGACCAAGTTACTGGTCAGATCTGCGGAGAGGCAACCCTGCAGACATTCAAAATGCCTGTTTTTCCAGGTATTCTTAAGCTGTAATTTAAGAAATGTGGAGCTGTTTAATGTCACACTGTGGAACATTTCAAGCACAATAATGACATATTCATCAAAACAAACAGGTGACAGACCCTCAACCAAAAACGTAGTGCACCTTTAATGTGCACTAGGGCTGGGTATCATTAAGAAGTTGCTGATACGATACATATCTCGATACATAGGCCACGATACAATACATATCTCGATACAGTGAACTTTCGATTCGATACGATATGTTTCAAATTGATGCGATATGTAGTTCATCGATATAGTTCAATACAAATAAAGGCTAAATCATGGCTGTGATACTAAAAGTCTTTCTTAAACAACTTCTTATGCAAAGTTCATATGAAACAAAAACATTTTAATCATCAAAACAGTGAAAATGTCAAATGTGTCACACAAACAAGTTTTTCCTTCCTCTGAACAAGCAACAAAAGTGCTCTCTTGGAGATATATCGATACAGCAGCCCACGATATCGATGTATCGTCACATCAAACGATACAATAAATTGATATTTTGATATTTTTGATCACCCCTGATATGCACTAAGTTAGAAATGGAAAAACTTGAGGCCAAGCAATAACATCTCCATGCAGACAAGTAGGTAGCAGACCCTCTACCAGAAAAGTTACGCATTGCATCTTTAATCATATATTATAGCAAATATTTAACAAATTCACCAGTACTTTTGCTGACATAATAAAACACTTAAGTTCAAACTGAAAACTTCCAGGTCTTAAGAAAACAACAGAGCTGTTTCCTCCGCCCTTTGGTAGCTCTCACATAGTCTCTGATCCAAAGCATTCATTCATAAAAGACCCACCCTTTTCCATATCCGCTAGAGCCAGAGCCACGCGGTTGTCACAATGTCTCCTCCACAGAACAGGAAAAAACGCATCAATACTGACACAAACACTTACTGAAGAAGCTGTTATGGTTTTAGTAGGAAATATCGACCTAAACTGGATTCACAGCTGATCACAACAACTCAAACAAAACATACATGTCATTTATAAAATATTAAATAGTTATAACAAACATATTATTTGGTTTTATATATAGATTTAAAATATATGGCCAAGCTTCTTTGCATTATGTCAACAGTTAGTACAATGAGCTGATCAATATTTGAGTTGCATGGCCTACTTTGCAGAGCTTTTAAATTCACAGACTGATAAACTACAAAATTAAAAATAAATCATAGTTTATCCTTAAATATAAAAAATAAGCGTACATTTGCAGTAAATCGTGTTACACTGGACCATATTCTGAACTCTTAAATACAATGCATGCACGCTACACATTTTTAGATCTTACCGTCCAACTCTATTGTGAACAAACAGTATCTTAAACATGGTTTTCAACACAAGCCAGACGGGTTTTTGTGATGTCGTGGCTGAACCCGGTACTTAAAGATAACGCTGTCGGTGCTGTGGAGGTATGCGCGTACGTAACCCTGTGAATGAACGCTGGGACTCTGGGACTAATTCATGAAGTGGACTACAGCCCGAGGTTCGGTTTTGGAAGAACCACGGGCTTGAATCACTGAGCGGATGTGGGCACTTAGCCTACTAACCTTAGCCGCAGCTGGATGTGTCGAAGAAGGGCAACTGTGGATATCCTCCTACGGGCGAAGAAGCGAGGGGCCTGGGAGAGGTCAAGCAACAGTCCGTGCGTGCGTGAGTCGTGATTCGTACCCCAAACCGCTTCAGGACACTGTCATGAACCGTGGGCGAGTGTCGGTGGATGAGAGCGACTGGGCGACTGTCCGTGTGGATGGTATGCCGGATGTGGTGCGATGTCACGGGGTTTGAGAGACCAGGAGAGAGGCTAAAGAGGAGACGAAAAGCCGCGGTGATGAGTCGTGATGCTCCGTGCGCGCTCGCAGTGCCGTGAGTGCTCTGAGGCCGGCGCGCGGTGCCGTGGATCCGCCTTTCCGCTCGCTCTCTCTCTCTCATTCTCTCTCTCTCCTTCTCTCCGTCCCTCCCTCTCTCTCTCTCCCTCTCTCTCTCTCTCTCCCTCCCTCTCTCTGTCTCTCTCTCCCTCCCTCCTTCTCTCTCTCTCTTCTCTCGGTCACGGTGAAACACGTTGTCTGGGTCCAGCACAGATCGTCTGTGGAGACAAGACGATCTGCTACAAGACAATACGCTATTCTTAAAAACAGTCTTTCAATTCTTTGGGCTAGTCAATATAGAAACGATCATATTCAACACTGCATTTACCTTTTGGATATTTTACTGCAAAATACACTGTAATCCTCAATAGAAGAAACATGAAAACCACAAATAAATCAGAATAACAAAATTCGCCAACTCGGAATCTTGATCTATTAAAATAACTAGCTAGAAACACGCTTTGGCGATGTAGTGCAACATGCATTCATCGCCTGTATTCAGCCTCACATTTTGCATGTGTAGTTTTATATATTTTAGCATGGTAGTATAGTTAGTACATTTTTATTTTATTTTTGTTTTGAATTTTTTTGTATGAAAAGTGTCTTATAAATAGTTTGATTGATTGATTGATTGAGAGGTTTAATACCATACTATGAAACATTCCAGACAAAGCAATAACATTTCCATGGAGAAAAGTATTTGACTCAGTTAGACTTGTCCGTGTCCAGGGTGAGAAGCTCCCCCCAATTCCTGGAGACATACAGGTCCTGGAGAGGGAGAATGCAGCTGGTCACTTCTCAGCAGAGCGGTCAATGCGCTGCAGTCTGTTTCTGGCCCTGGCTTTGTCCATGGTGCCCCACACCGTGATGGAGGAGGTGTGGATGGACCTAAGGATGGCTGTGAACTGCTGCATCATCTGAGCTGGCTTCTTTTGGGTCTTCTTAAGGATGCAACTGACAGTGTTGGGATTAACGCGTTATAAAAGTAACGAATTACAGTAATGCATTACTTTTTGCTGTAACGCAGTAATGTAAGGCATTACAGGGGAAAAAATAGTAATATTTTACTCGGTACAAATGTGAGTAACGCGCGTTACAATGTTTTTTTTTTTTTTTTTACCTGGATTGAAGTGGTGGGTTTTTCTTCATGCAAATTCGCTAAAATCACCTCGATATCAGCAGCGGTGAAACGCCGGAGATGCGCCCTCGTAGACCTTCAGGTAACCGCGGGCGAAAGGACTGACAAAGAACTCCACGCTGTTTAGACCTGGTTTAGACCTGGGTCAGTTCTGGTTTAGACCTGGTTTAGACCTGGGTCAGTTCTGGTTTAGACCTGGTTTACACTCGTCCCTCCCTCTATCGCAGTTCACTTTTCGCGGTCTCGCTGTTTCGCAGATTATTTTTATTTATTTATTTTTTTGTGCAATCATGCATGCCCTTTTTTTTTTACATTGTATGAACACGTATTGCGTTCCTCCCGCTGCGTCCTGACTGGCCAAGGGACTCCTGTCTCCTGTACAGTACAGAATGTGTTCAGCTGCCAAATTTAAATACATGTTCAATCTCTAGCAGTGTGATTCTGAAGTGCTGTACGGTTGCAAGTTTTCTCCCCGACGAAACCCACAACGTCGACGAAACGTTCTGCACCGACAAAGGCTCCTGCGCTCGCACCCAAAAGGCAGAGGAAGATGCAAACCATCACACAAAAAGTTGGACTTCTGGACACGCTGAAGGAAGGTAGAAGTTACGCGCTGTAACAGACTCTTGCACCGGTTCGGATACCTGCAAATAGTTGCTGAAATCAGGACCGCGAGCCCGAGCAGCAGGGTCCATAAAGAGCGATCGGGCAACAGCCGCTCTTACCTCCGTGAGGTGCGGAGCAGAGCCGCTCCTTTCTCCTGCGGTCACCTTCGAGCCCGTCCCTACAGTGAGTCCTGTTTTAGTCCTAGTTCACTTCTGGTTTAATCCTGGTTCAGCTCTGGTTTAGTCCTGGTTCAGTCCATATACAGTGCAAAAGTTATTTTGGTGAGAGTAACTTAAAGTAATGCAATAGTAATGTAATGCCTTACATTTTAAATGCAATAATATTGTAATGTAACGAATTACTTTGAAATGACAGTAATAGGTAATAAATACCGCATTACAGTTTCAAAGTAACTTGCCCAACAGTGGCAACTGATGGTGAGCTCCCACTTATAGTCCTGGATGACGGTGGAGCCAAGCTAGTGGAAAGAGTCCGTGGTGGTGAAGGTGGGTCAGTCAGGGCGAGGGTGGCTGTGACTTGACTTCTGACTATCTCCACTGTCTTCTGATCATCTCCGCTGTCTTCTGACCATCTCCACTGTCTTCTGGTCATCATCTCCCTGTCTTCTGACCATCTCCACTGTCTTCTGGTCATCTCCACTGTCTTCTGACCATCTCCACTGTCTTCTGACCATCTCCACTGTCTTCTGGTCATCTCCCCTGTCTTCTGACCATCTCCACTGTCTTCTGACCATTTTCGCTGTCTTCTGGTCATCTCCACTGTCTTCTGGACCATAGAGCTCCAGGTTGTCACCACATTAACAGATCAGCAGCTGGTCCTTCCTGTTGACACACTCATTACTGCTGTGATGAGCGATGAGAATGGTGTTCTACGCAAACTTCCTTTACCGGGTGGGGGTGGAGGTGCAGTAGTTGGTGTACAGGGAGAAATCCAAGAGAGAAAGTACACAACCCATAATAATTTGACAGATTAACCAACAAACAAGGTAAAATCAAATGTAGACTAAGAGGACAAGGTTGTAGATTATATTAAAGGTTCACTGTGTACATTTTATGGTTTGGAAGAGGTCCGGTTTGCCACATGTTTGTCTCTAGAGATGTGTTTAATGAAACACAGTGGAACATTGCAGGTAAAACAACAGTACTCTCCAACACAAAAGTAACACAGTGCACCTTTAATTGTAATTTCTAATCCATATATTTTGTTGTGCATATTTGTTGTGCATAGTTACTTCAGAATAATTCACATTTATGAAAATTCCGTACTATGCAAAAGAACAATCTACAAGGTGGTAATTAATAAGCTGTTCCTGAACATCGTGTTAAAATACGAGGCATTTCCGTTTCTGGATTCCCGACGAAGTGAAACCTCTATGTGCAAATCTGTGCGTCAGACGGATCGTTCAGACGCACACGCGCACACGCACACATGCACATTTTTCCTGGCTGATGTCATTGCGTTGATCTGGACTAATCTCTCAATTCCTCCCCCTTTCTCGCTGCCCTGTCTTTCTTTCTCTCTTTATCTCTCTGTCTTCCTCCCCCCCTTTCTCCCTCCATCCCCTCCCTTTGTCCCCCTCTCTCTCTAAAGACAATTAATTGAGTAGAAATTCGACCTAATTTTAGGTGGGGAGTAAGTTTTTAAAATACGAATAAAATACTTTGTGGATAACCTATTACATCATATTTACAGACTGAATAAATAAAGAGCAGGTATGAGGTGACTTGAGTGAATTGTACCAGTAATACTCAGATTCTGTTACAACACATGACACTGCAGGTGGAGGCACATGTACAGGCCATAAACTGTATAAAGATTATAAATACAGTCTTTGGTACAGGCCTAGTACTGTTCACTGCACAGTCGAACAGCAGCACGAAGGAAAGACCTGCAGAATCTCTTTTTCACACAGCACGGGTGGAGCCGTCTGTCACTGAGGCTGCACCAGAGCAAACAGGTCGTCCAGCAGGGGGCGTGCTCATGCTCCAGCATAGATGGGAGCTTAGCCACGACCCTCCGGCCCTGACAGGAACTGTATGTATCTGAAAATCTGTATGTAGTCTGTACATGTGCTCAGTGTCTGGATTCATTGCTGAGACCCTCGTCTCTGTTTGTGTCAGGTGTGATTTTTTTGTGCTGACAAATTTTGATTTGCCGTTCTGTTGGAGTCTCTATATTGAAAGTTTGGACCAAAGTGATCTACCACGTGAGAACAGGCCTCTAGTGCTGAAAAACAAGTTGAATTCACTGATCATGTGTGTTAATGAATGAGCACTGTGTTAAGTGTTCTGAGAAAGAGCCTGAGAGCTGCATGGACTGATGAGAAATGTTCCAAAGGATGTGACTGCCTGTGGCTCCATTTACATACAGGTTTAAAAAATGGTGATAAAATTATTGAAAAAAATGATTTATTTGTGTGTGTGTTTTGCTCCCTGTTAATAATAAAAATGAAATACAGTTTGGTTTTGAATAGATTTCCTCAAATATTGTGTATCTCATGACAGTCAGACTCTTTTCATGTGACATTATGGCTTTGTCCTGGAGGCAGTTCTGAGATCCCATTGCACAGGCATGCACACAATGTGCCCATACACAGCCATTCATCCACTCACAAAAACTGTCTCAAAATTGTATTTAGAGCTTTGAATGCATGTTTAGGTTTCATTATTTTTCTGCAATCAAAACCATTGTTTCTTTTGTGGGCTGAGCCACAAGGGGAATTGTTTGGGCACAGAAGCTCACACATTACATTATACTAGAATAATAAAGAGTAAGCATATTAATATTAATCATAAATTCAAAATAAGTAGCAAACATAACAAGAGAATAGTGTCAAGTGGCATAATTATATAAATGTCTATAATAATGCAATAATGTAAAACTAAAAAGGAAAATAATGTAGTAATACAAATATCTCTCACCTGTATTCAATAGGTCATAAGGGGAAAACAATGCAAAGATGAAATAATGACTGACAGGTCATAGGGTAATCTGTTTGTAACACGGGTTGGGGGTTATTGCTAAAAATGGAAAATAGATGGCAGAATTGGAGAAGAATAACTGTTAAAATCAAGAGGAGAGAGACACTGACGGACCAATAACGAAAAACCCAGGATAAAAAGTATAAATTATAAATACATTTATTACAAAAGTTAAAATAAATAAATAAAATCCTCAGTAAAATCAGTTTAAATAAGGATTAAAACAGTAGGTGGGCCTGGGTTAAAATGAGGCAGAGGTTTGTAGTTTGATGGAGAAGGTTGGATTGTGCATCACAGAACCTCAAATGGAAATGTCTGTACCACATCACTGAAACATTCATGCACACAAACATGTGACTGACAAACAATTATTCAGTATTTTTTGGAATAACTGAAAGGACAGAATATTTGTTAACACCTAATACACTATAACACAGTAATATCTACATGACCTTTTCTCTAAGTTTTAATAATAAGAAAGTCATTGAGTTTCACATATATTGTTGTAAATGTCACGTCTATTTTGGAGCAGGAACTGGTCAGGAAACAGATCATTTTCATATAATAGTCCAAAAATGACATGGTGCTTCTTATTTGTTTCTTCCTCTCCAGTCATCTCTGATCTTACACCCTGTATTTCCTCAGATGTGCACTTTAAGATCTCATTATCGCTGGAGTTGTCACCCACCCACCTGTGCCATGCTCAATCTGGAGATCTTTCATGAAGCAGAATCACTCTCAAATCATGCAGCCTTCTCTATTTGCACCATTAAGAAAAGATAAAAGACTTGATTGAAATCTTACTGAAGTATCTGTAATCCAACATGTACAGTAGTTCAAATGTGTTGCTGGTTGGAGGAAGAAAGCCATGCTCTCACTGAAGTGGTCTCCCATAGCAACCGCTCACACAAGACAAAGACCCCAGCATAATTTGCACACAACCCTAAAAGGACAGACTATATGAAACTAAAGAAATTGGTGAGTAATGTAATTTAAAGGTGCACTATCCAACATTTTGGTTGGGGGTCTGCCACCTGCTTGTTTCTACAGTATAGATATGCCATTGCTCTGCCTGGAATGTTCTACAGGATGATATTAAACAGCGCCACTTTTTAATTACAGGTACTTTTATAGCTCAAAGCTAGCTTGCCTCTCCACAGATCTGAAGGTTTAATACCATACTGTGAAACATTATAGATAAAGCAATAACATCTCCATGGATCAAAGCATTTTACGGTCTCTCCACCAGAAAACTTACACATTGCACATTTTAAATATACTACAGCCAAAGAGGGGGCTGTTTGTGTTGGTGCAGTTATTGGAGTTACTTATGGCAAAAACAACACAGGCATCAGTGTTAATGGAACACAATAAACTTAACATTTGCTATTTACTGTAATAGATATAGCATTCAATATATGCAGGTGTCAGAGTGAACTGGACTGAGGCAGGGGTTAAATTGACCAAATGTACTAATAATTATGGCATTGTTAAAAACATTTAATAAATAGGTAACGCCCACTGTCACTACAGCTCATCCTGTTACATGGAAATAACAAAGGGAAGAAAAGCAATGGTGGAAGTAGTACTCAGTTTTGTTATTTGTTATTTAAAAGTCCTATTTTGCAAAGCTGACTCCTGTGAGCTTTAATCCATGTTATAATGCTGTTACCTCATTAAAAACATACTTGGAGTTGTGATGTTTAAGTAATCCTGTAATGTCATGAAGTAGTAGTTTAGAAGTTAAGCTACCTTCTACCTTCAGTTTAGTAGAGACTGGCAATTCCAAGGCTGAAATCATGCAAATGATTCTAGTGAAGGTGTGTGGAGTTTAAAAATACAGTGGAGCACTTCCCGTATTACCACATGACATCACAAGGTGGAACAGAATGTTTTCAGTTTGAAAGCAACACAGCATAAATATGCAGGATCTCTGTGTTAAACATGGTTGAATGAAACAAAACAAAACTCCAGGTATTTTTAATGAGGAAAAAGCATTATAACAAAACCTAACATTATAACAATGTAATATGGGCCCTTTAAATATGTTTTGGCTCTGTTTTCCTACAGGTGGAGGCAGGACGACAGCGCCGTCTGCTGGTAGGAAGACAGCATCAAATCTAATTTAAATCACAGCAACATTTTGTGACCACTCTGAGGAAGACGGTAGTGAGCAGTTGAAATTCAGGTACCAAAACAAACTAAGCCTTGGTCTGAAAAAAGAATAGAATAAAATACATTATCTGAGGACCAAATGATCCTCGTCACAGCTGATGTGGTATTTCTTTTCAAATGTATCAAAAGTAAATTCCACCAAATTGTTTGTGTGGCCATTAATAAAGCTTGTTTCACATGCTGTGTTAAACTGATCTGACTGATATGTTTACATGTCTCATTTGACTCCACCATGAGTCTGAACCAGCTCACCCCCTGCAGCCTGCACAGTCTGCCCCGGGGTGGATCACATTACATTCTTTATTAATAGCCTCTGTCTCATCTTTCTCATTGTAAACTAATAAGACCTCATTCATTCACAGCAGATAGGAGTTTTCATTTTATTTAACACAAACACAAGTTCAAGATTGAATTTATTGTCATTTTTACTTGTACATAAAAGAGAAATACTGTTTTGTGGAACCCCTCAAAGTCAGTATAAAAGTCAGTAGTGAATGTGAATGAATATCAGTGATAAATAGTGCTAATAGAAAGCGTTGAGAGCCTAATCTAAAGCAAGCAAAGAGCCAGTGCTCATGAAGCTCAATCACAAACACAATGGAGAATGTATTTTCACCACAAATGTAGCCTGTATGATTTCAAGTAACACATAATAAAATGTCATATTATCATCAGCTGATGCAGCAGTAGTGGCCTATTATTCAGAAGGTTGATGGTTACAGTCCTGCTGTTGAATCCAATTCTCTCAAGAGTCAATCTGCTCCTCATTCTTCTCATCACCTGTGTCTTGCTGACAGCTAATCACAAGCTTTTTCATTATTTGTAAAAATCTATTGTTATTCCAACAACACTGGTATAATGTTTCAAACAACAGGGATCTAAGTTCACCTTATACAGCAGGATGGATTACTGCAATATTTGCATGTTCACAAACTCACAAGAATCACTCTTGGTGCCTGCTGGGCCTGACAGGTCAAAGGGCCTGAAGGTCAATAGGCCCGGCAGGTGTTGGGCGACCACTCACAGAGCAGTGTTGAGGTTTGTGTGGAAGCTAAAGGTGAAGCACCCAATCAAACCAAAACAAATAAAATAACTTCCTTCAGCCTATTTTAGGGTCAATATGGCTATTTAAAGGGACAGTCCAGAATTTTGGACATAGGACCTCATTTCCTAGTGAGCCCGAGTGTTGGAGATGTGTGGAGACACTTTTTAAAATATTCCATCCAGTCCATGTATTTGCAGAGGTCACTGGTGCTAGGCTAGTGCATGTCAATGGCCATAGTTATCCTGCCACTAAAAACAGCCTTACCCACTCCACAAAACACCTGAAGCAAATCTATTGTTACGCCAGACTGTTGATGTAAATGTCTGTGTTGATAGAATAATGTTTGAAATAAAACTAATCTCGCACCGCATGAACCATCACATGTGAGGGACTAGTTTCTCATATATCAATTTTTAGTGACAGGTTAACTATGGTCGTTGACATGCACTAGCCTAGCACCAGCGACCTCTGCAAATACAAGGACTGGATGGAATATTTTAAAAAGTGTCTCCGCACATCTCCAACACTCTGGCTCACTAGGAAATGAGGTCCTATGTCCAAAATTCCGAATTGTCCCTTTAACTTGTGACTAACATGCAGAGGGAAGTGTTTTGTGCATTTGTGGACGTAGAAGATGTCTATGCTTTTCTCTCAACTGGATGTAACAAAAGTGTTTCGGCTTATTCTACTGTTGTAACGTTTCGACCAATCAGATTCAAATAGTTGTCATGATGTTCAGATGTGGGACCCTCCATCAGAAAAGAATTAAAAGTGTAAATGTACATAAATACTAAACTGCCAGCATCCTCCTCTTTGAGTTTGATCCTTCACACCAGTGCTGTGACAGATCCACAGTCTTCACCCTAAGCGTGGACTCTGGGACGCCATCTTTTCCACAGTGTTGTCCCGCGGAGGCCTTATTTTTAGCGAGTGTCCAACTTCTCTCCAAAACTTTATATGGGAATGGCATGTCTGAGCTCCCATTTCCACCGTCTCTGAGTGAGTCTCTATAGTGAGCAATCTTTCGGACACTGAGCTGGGATCTGTGACTGCTACACAACCACTATCCTTTTTCATAAGCAGCAGGGCACTAAACAGGTGGTTGTCAGGGGGAAGGTTTCACTCTCTTCAACACTGACAAACAAAATAGAAAAACTGTCACCTATCACATGCATATCAATGTCCTCTAAAAAAATAATATCTGGATTTTTCTGTCACATAGGCTACACCCAAGGTTGAGAAGGTTGCTGCAACAATAAAAATCTCCAAAAATAGTGTAAATATAAACACATGATTATATGATTTAGTTTGTGGATGGAGAACCAGGAAATAATGACTGATATTGACAATAATACCTAAAGTCTAATAATATTATGCCGTTTGGTTCAATCAGACTAGATGAAACTTTTGTAGTTTATATTTATATTGGTAGAAAATGGTATCGAGCATTAATATACCAATATGGGGAGATGACTTAGTCTTTAATTGTGTTTGTTTTGAGTAGCCTGACTGTTCCAACCCAGAATTACAACTGTATTTTACAGTATAGTAACTCCTCCCTCTGGCCGCCATCCCTTCTATTTTGGCTGCTCCTCTGGCTTTGCCCCCTGGATGAGTGAGCCCACTTCTCTCACTGGGACGGTCCCTGAAACGTCACCAGATCCACGTGCAGGACATTTTTAAAAGCAGGTGTTCCACAGTCCTCTGCTCTTCTCTTGCCAGTGGGGACAGAAGTCTGTACCCCCAACCCTCACTCATTTGTCCTAATAGTGTTAGAAGCAGCTCTGTCACTGCATCTGAGCGCTGTGAGAAGAGAGCACCATGAAGTGGGGCTGGGTGATCGTGGGGGTCCTCCTAACTTTGGGAGCCCTCAGTTGGGCTGACACTGGTTTGGAAATCCCAGAGTATGATGGCAAAGACCGCGTCCACGAACTCACATCCAAGAACTACAAATCTATCATGAAGAAGTATGACGTGATGGTCATCTACTACCACAAGCACGTGCAGGGCAACCGCGCGGCCATGAAGCAGTTGCAGATCGAGGAGCTGGCTCTGGAGGTGGGTGACACCAGCAGGCTGCACCCGGAACAGAGTGGTCCATGTGGGGGAAGGGTCAGAGGCAAACAGGGCAGCTGGGCTGGTTTCACATGGAGACTTTGGCTCCAGGTGTACATTCCTGAAGGTGGTCTGGTGAATGGATGTGTGAATGCAGATTATGGTTGTCAACAGACAGAGACAATACAGCTGTATCAGTAATGGAAGTAGGAGTCGCTTGGTTTGGTTTAGTGTATTTAGTATATTTTATTTCTGAGCAACTGGTATTTGAATAAATGTAAGGTAGATCAGTGGACACTGTGGATCATCCCAGGAAGGCAGTAACATTTTTATTGGCTCTGGTTCATTCAGTTTGAAGCCTGTGATGCACAAAAAAGTGCTGCTGATCAACAATAACATTACGTTGAAATTTTCAGCAGAAGTTTCCGAAGTAGGGCTGATATTAGAAACTGTTTTGAAACTTGTGTACTAAATTTGATAATTTTGAATAGATCTATAAAAATGGTGTGTACAAAAATGTGTGTTCATTTTGTGTTTCAGCTCTTCTCTCAGCAGCTGTGATTGTTTTGTTTTGTGTTGTGTTTTTTTTTTTTGTAAATGGAGTCACCTTTCTTTTCAGATCCTTCCTCACAATTGTCTCTTGTCTTTTGCACAGGGGTGTAGTCCCCTCAGCCTTCCTCTGCTGGTCGAAGTGGCAGTGTCTTCTTTCAGCATGTACTAACAGTATAAGCCACCTCTGTAAATAGCTTGGGACTGTTTCTGTATGTGAGGACAGACTAAGTGCGAGGGGATTTTAAAGGTGCACAGTGTAACTTTTTGGTTGGGGGTCCATCCTGTCACCTGCTTGTTTCTGTGGATATGTCACTGCTCTGTCTGGAATGTTCCACAGTATGACATTACACAGCTCTACCTTATATTTATTAAATTACACATGGTTTTAAACCTCAATACCTAGGCAAAAGACCTAGGAAAACATACATTCTGACTGTGAGTGGGGTTGCCTCTCCACAGATCTGGTCTGGTTTGGTCTCCATGAAGATAGAGAGGCACTAAACTGTTAAAATGTGAAAAACAGAACTAATGCATTCTAAAGTTGTGTGTGAATTACAGTATTTGTAGAAAGACAAGTTCAAAACGACTAAATTATGTAAATATTAAAAGACCAATATCACACTATTTTCTGATCTGTTATAATGTTGTTTCCTCATCACAAACATAGTTGTATTTCGCTTCATTCACACATGTTTAACATACAAACCCTGCATATTTAGACTGTTCTCTCTCAAAGATAAAACACTCTGTTCCACCTTGTGATGTCATGTGGTAATACAGAAAGTGCTCCACTGTGTTTGTAAGCTCCATACACCTTCACTAGAATCATTTGGATGATTTCAGCTACTGAACAAACAGTAAAAGTTAGTTGTTCTTGAAAATTACCACTTCATGACATCACAAGGTGGAACAGAGCATTTTGACTTTTGGAGATGTAGACAGACTAATAATAAAGGATTACTCAAACATCTGAGTGAAACAAAAAACAACTCAAGTTATAGTTTTGAGGAGGTAAAATGGCTTAAATTTGACATAATACAGGACCTGTAAAATTGAAATATGTATGTTGAGCACATACTTCTTCACATTAACCTTTCGTAATAATCATGTGACTTTTATATTCGCTAACATGGATTTATCAGCCATATTCAGCTCTGCCTTGTAATTTTTTTGTCATTGTTGAACATCTTAAAAGTGCACTGAGTAATTTTTCCGTTGGGGCTCCGTCACCTGCTTGTTTTCATGGAGATGTCACTGCTCTGCCTAGAATGTGCCACAATATGACATTAAACAGCTCTGCTTTACATTTATTCAATTACAGGTAGTTTTACAGCTCAGAAATACCTAAAACAAAACAGGCATTCTGAGTGTTGCGTCCCCACAGATCTGACATGTAACTTTTGTTGGTTGGTGGTATTTGTAAGGAGTTTGGTCTCTATGAAGACAAGCCTTTAAAATACGGCACAATAATTACAAAAGCATAAAAGAGTAACAAGAAGCATCATGCAACTCTAAACTTCTACTTCTGAACAAAACAATAGTAATACTAGTTTGTGATGTCAATCAAAATGCGACATTTAGTGCACCCAAGCTGATTTTTCGTAGGCCACTATCACACCTATACCAAATGTTGTTTGAATGCAGCTTTAATCACTAAAACAGATCAATTACTATGATTACTATGACTTTTATACTATTAAACAGTACAACAAACCTTGCCACAAATGGGAAGCTGAGTTAATAATTGAGAGAACTGCATGTGCTAGGTGTAAATATTCAATTGCTGCTCATTATTTGAATCAGAAGACTTTAATTATGTAGCAGCTCACATAAATTAAATTGTCACCTGTTTTGTTGAGAAAGCATCATATTCAGAAACACGGTGTACCCGAGAAAATCACTGTTGAAAAGACTTTGGCCTCACAGCTGAAAAAAACAAAAATCCTAAAAGTTAAATTCACAAAATATGTGTAGAGGAGATGAATTAAATTTCTGTCAGTGTTTTTAACCTCCAGACGGACATTATAGAGCTAATAAAGCTAGCACTGTATATGTACAATGAGAGGTAGGTACACAGAAATGATACAAAAAAGGGACGGGCTTTCAGGGAACTTTTAGCTTTATTATTAGCAGGGATGTAACAATATCCACATTTCCTGGTATGATATTTTCACGATACGCATCTCACGGTACCACATTTATTGTGAGATTTTATAGAGGCTAACAAAATTATAAATATCCAACTTTTCCATTAAAAATGTCCTGACAAGCCTTTGGTTCTGTCATAAACAAAAGAGTCAAGATTTAAAAGTGTTTTATAAGTCATTTTATTGTGTAAATTATACTGAAATGCAACTTATTATTGTATATGTAGTTCCTTCTGTTTCTTTTAGCTATTGCTGCAATAAATTTAAGCAAAGAGACTTGAAATTCAATATAGTGTGATTGCCCATATTATGATTGAGAGACTTTTGATGATACAATATCACAATATGTCAGTTATTGTTACATAATTACTAGCTTTATTAGCAATACTGTTTTGTGGTAAATAGAAGTATATGCTCATGTCTATATGGCTAAATTGGGATGTCTGGCTTTATTCTTTCAAGGAAGTACGTTTCCATTTTCCTGTGTATTGTAAAAGAAACACTTAAAGAAACAAACAGATCATGCTTTATTTGCATCTAATAAAGTACTTAACTCATTACAAACCCAGAAGAAAGATCTGTAAGAATCTCAGTGAGCTTTGATGGTTCATCCTGCTTTTCTTCTCTGTCCGAAAAAGCTGCTCTAGAGCTATTCTTAAGCAGCTACTTTTGCTGTTTGGTAATACTTTAAATAACCAAATTCAATCCGTAGCTAACGTATGCTTCTGTGTATATATTTGGAAGTGTTTGTGAGTGACTGATAATATCTTAATCTCTTGTGTGACCTCTGAACTTTGACAAATGGGTTTCATATTTCAGAGATCGCCCCCAACCTTTTTCCTGCATGCTGCCCTCCTATTGAAAGCTGCTGAATAGATGGAGAGTTTGGCAGAGTGGACCTATGAACAGACTATATCTGCCCTTCCACAGGCTGAAGAAGTCTGCTTTTCTTCTTTATAAGACAAAATGCTTAGCAAAGTTAAATCTGATATGGCTGATTCCTGGTAGAGTGGACAGTGTTGAGGTGATGGCAGTTTTTACTTGTCTTGTCATGATCTACTTCTGTGTCAAATGTCATGATTCTGTGTGCAATTTATTATTATTATTATTTTATTTTTTGCGTTGTTACCCTAATGTAATGTTTGTGCATTAGGTGACTGATACTCCATTTATTTTAATTTTTTTTTTAAGAAATTGGAAATAACCAGAAGTTAGAGAAGTGCAAGTTTTAATTTGGGCAAATTTTTGTGAGTTGTCTGTTTCGTTTGTGGTTAAAATGAGTTCTTGCACTGGCTTTTGTCAGATAATTAAATATAAAAAGTGCCAGACTTTTGAACGGCTTTTTGACATGAAGGATCCAAATGATTCGGATCCCACAAAAGAGTTGAAAGTCCCATCACGTTAGTCTCAGGACATGGAGCAGACTAAAGAGGAGATCAAGACTAAAAGAGAATCTAGACTAAAAGACTAAATGACATAAAATGGGAAGAAAGACTTAAAGATGCATTGTGTAACTTTTCTGGTGAAGGGCCCACCATCTGCTTGTCTCCATGGAGATGTTGTTGGTATGGTATTAAATCATCATGTGTTTACTCAATAACATGGTCTTTTATGCATTGAAAAACTTGCATTCTTACTGTGAGTGGGCTCATCTCTCCACAGATCTGACATGTAACTGTGGTGTCACCTGCTGTCTCCATAGAGATAAATAAGCGTAATGCCATACTGTGGAATATTCCAGGCAACATTTCCATGGAGAGAAGCTGATGACAAAGAAAAACAGTTGTTCAGTGTAAAAGCAAGAAAAAAAGCAAAGGAAAATCATTGTCCTCCAGTGCAGTGCTGCCATCACATTCATTTAAAGGTAGTGCAGGAAGCTCATATCCATGGCCCCTAATGCTGCTGTAAAAGGTCTATATTGGCTAATAATCTTCAAACTCGGGGGAAATCTGTACAAAGGTCAGAGGGTTGTCATGGTAACCGACCAGCGTCACTTTTTTCATAAATCTGAGTCCATACATACTTTAAAGACAGTGGACGGTGCTGAAGCTGAAGGAGCCAGATGTTGTAATAGGCTTTTTAATTTGAGTTTTCAGACAAGAGAAAATATATAAGGCCCTATATTACGTTGCATTGTTTCCTCATCACAGTTGTTCCTGGAGTTGTGTTTTGTTACATTCACATGTTTAACATACAAATCCTGTGTAATTAGGTTGAGATTTTCTCTCAAATGGAAAACACTCCACCATGTGATACCAGGTCGTAATACAGGCAGTGTATGTTTCTATGGAGGTGGCAACAGTC